TCCTAGGCACCAATCCCAGGCTGGATCCAGGATTTGGTATCTAAGAACACAGCAGAGGGATCGTTACATAGAGAACACAGCCCTGGAGTGGGTTAAATGTCATCTGAGTAGTCGTAGGTATCAGTTCCAGGCTGGATCCAGGATTTAGGACCTGGCAGAGGGATTGTTCTGTGGAAAATACAGCTCTGGGAATGGGTTAAACCTCAGCTGGGCAATCTGGGTGCCCATTCCAGGCTGGATCCAGGATTTAGGACCTGGCAGAGGGATTGTTCTGTGGGAAATACAGCCCTGGAATGGGTTAAACCTCAGCTGGGTGATCTGGGTGCCCATTCCAGGCTGGATCCAGGATTTAGGACCTGGCAGAGGGATTTCTCCATGGAGGACTCAGCCCTCAGCAGGATGCAGCCCCTTCTCAGGTGGATGGGGACTCATCACCTGCTTTGGGGTGATTTTTCAGCAGAATGGTCCCTCTGAGCTCAATTCTGTGCTGTCACCACCTCAGATCTTTCCAAAACATTTCTCCTTTCCCATCTGAGGGCCGCTTTCTGCAGGGATTGGCAGCAGGTTCACTCTGCTCAAGGAGAGCAGAGGGCAGGGGGTGAGGACGCTGAGAAATGCATTTGATGTGGCTTTAAAAGCTCAGTGAACTTTTTTTATGTGCAGAGAAGAAAAATCAAGATAAACCAGAATATTTTTTCCTGCCGCTGTCCCTGCTCCATCCATTCCATCCAAGGGTAATTTAACAACCCTGCTGCTCTCAGCCTTTTAATGAGCTTCTCAGAAGACACAGACCCAGAGCAGCCTCCCCAGATTGAAGGTTTTCATTAAAAACACGTGGAGCAGCTTGATCTGCTCTGCCTGTGGGATCCAAACCCAGCTGTCAGCTCAGCTCTGACCTTCAGGGGCTGCAGGAGGGTCTGGGTGACACTGAAAGCAGAGCAGGAAAAGCTGGGAAAGCTGGAAATCCCAGCCCTAGCTGCCTTTCAGTGGTGTCCCTTCAGGAAGACCCCAAAAAATGAGAATTCAGAAATACTTTTTCCTGATTTCAGCTCTGTGAGAGGAGAGCGGCCACAAATCTGTTCCTCTGAGGTTTTTCCTACCAGAGCTGGGAATTGTGGAAGAATAAGGGAAATTTTGAGCCCCAGCAGAGGTGCCTTTCAAAGCAAAAGAAATTTTAAGAAATACAAAGAAATTCAAAGAAATTCAAAGAAATTCAAAGAAATTCAAAGAAATTTTAAGGCCCAGCAAAGGTGCCTTTCAAAGCAAAAGAAATTTTAAGAAATTCAAAGAAATTTTAAGAAATTGAAAGTAATTCAAAGAAATTCAAAGAAATTTTAAGAAATTTTAAGCCCCAGCAGAGGTGCTTTTCAAAGAAGTGGCTGCAAACCTTTCTCTAGAGGGTGGCACATGGGGAAATTTGAATTTAAACACCCTCTCAGTGCCACAACCCTCTCTGTATCCAGCAGAATCACTTGAGCTGGAACTGAAATTTTGGGTGCTGCATCCCTGAGTGTTCAGGGTTTCCAAGCAGGGAATTCTCAACCCCCGCTATTTGTTTTTCCAGGCAGCTGCAGGTACAGAGCTGCTCTGTTCCAGGCATGAATAACCCCATTAGGGCTTTCTAATGTTTCATGCAGAGCATTGTAATGGAGGAGCTGGGGCTGGGAATTGTAATGCCAACTAAAAATGCTTTTAAGCCAGGGGAGGACGGGGCTTCATTAATTTCCATGTCAGCAGAAGCACAAGCAAAGTTGAAATACTCTGCAGAGAGGTGAGATTCAAGTATTAGCCAGCATCTAAAAGCAGGGGGAGGACAGGCTGGGATTTTCCTTTT